AACTCGACTTTGCATGCTTATAGCCACGTAGAGATTGACCGCACGCCTTAACAGCATTCGTGAAGAAGAAGTCCGCTTCCAGAAATTGGGGGAGCTTCAACAGACAGTGGACTGAAAGCTGGAGTCCAGGTATCAAAAGCACTGAGCTTCAAAAGACGTGTCCGGGACACATGGGCTACAATAGCGTCTTCTTCCGCCTTCCTGAACTCGGCCGGCGAGGCGTCTGACTTGGGCTAAGGAAAGAAGCACTGGACCAGTTTCCCGGTGGTTCCAAAGTTCTTTTGGCATCGCAATTTTGTATTCAATTTGAAGTCAAGCGCAGAGTGGAGAAAGGCTGGAGAGGAGCAAAATCCCAAGTTGCTTGAAATCCAGTGTGAAGCGTCCACGTCAGCGATGGTTTGGGGAGCCATGTCAGCCTGCTGGTGTTGGTTGTGTTTATCAAGCCCAGAGTAAATGCAGGCTGTGTACCAAAGATTTTAGAGCACTACATGCTTCGTTCCTGCTGAAAGCTCTATGAGATGAGGAATTCATTTTCCATGCATGATCTGGCACACTGCCCACAGTGCCAAAACCCACCAGTAACTGGTTGTACTGACCATGGTTCTGTTGGGTTGGCCTGCAAATTCCCCTGACCTGGAACCCATAGAGAATATGTGGGTCTTGTGGCAGCTGAGCGACCAACATGCTTGGCTGGCGTATTGGCTCTGGGCTCATACCACTCAAGCAATGCCACAGGCTGATGTCATGTCACGGCCGCATTGATGAAGTAATCCGTGCAAAAAAGGATTCACAACCAAAGCGTACTGAGTGCATTAAGGACATTTTCAAACATGTTTGTTGTGTTTTGCTGTTATAAATACTTTTTTTTTACTTGGCTGCAGGAACCTATTCTAATTGTTTTGAGATAGGATTTTTGAGTTTTCGGTTAAGCTGTATGCCATATCAGCAATATTAAAATAATAAAAGGCTTGCAATATTTCAGTGATTTGTAATGAATCCAGAATGTTGACATTTTTTGTTTTTTTAATTGCATTACAGAAAATAAAAGAACTTTATCACAATATTCTAATTTCATGAGACAGTCCTGTATATATATTAGGGCCGCGACTCGATAAAAAATTTAATCTAATTATCATTAGAGGCTTTTGTAATTAATTAATCGAAAATTACTCCGCATGATAAATATTTGACCTGAGAACGTGAGAAGCAATTTTTTTCACATGGATTTTTTAGTATACCATTGAATTATGACTGATACATAAGCTTAAGCAACAAACATTGTTTATTTTTTTCAAGGTGGTACTTACCACCAAGACCAACAGAAAAGTGGCATTTTTGCCTAAAGCTGAAGCAATAGCAATATTTAAGAATATATAATTTCAGAGATTCAGGTAGCCTATAGGTAGGTAAGACCCTTCTGTAAACTAATAACACCTTGGTTTTTTAAGTATAACACAATACTTTCAAGTACATTCAGAACATTGGAAACCCTGACTATTAGAAAACATCTCTCTGTTGCTTCAGAGGCCATAACAGACTTTGTTGATTTACCAACAGTTGATTTAAAAAATCTAATCAATTTCAGTCCAACTTTCCAATAACCTTGGCCAAAACAATAAACAGTTCAACATAAAGTGCCAGTTGCACCAACAACATAATAAATAGTTCAACATAAAGTGTACCATTTAAAATAAAATAAAAAAGTGCCAGTGATTGACCTCAATCCCTCCTATTCTTCCAATATCCTGATGAAAAATAAAATCTCTCTGTTGCATAGGCCACTGTTTGATCAATGCGAATTGGGTGTGGGTCCTTGTACTCCGAGTCGGGCTAACGTCCACGCTAGCTTCCACGCTAGCTGCTATATGTTTTGCATTGAGGTGATACTTGAGGCTTGATGTGCTGCGGTGATATGCGGATTCCTTTTTGCATAATTTGCAAACAACCGTGCTATCATCGATGCTTCCATCCGTCCGTTTTTTAAAACAAAATGTCCCATCCACGGGGCCAACCAAAGCGGTCTCATCAGCTTCTTCGTTCATGTTTGACTATTGTTCACTGTGGTTTGTTGTTGTCTGAAGTCATGAACGTTAGTTGGTGCTCCAGTATAATCGGTACCCCTGAAACTCATCCAGTGAGAAACGTTCCGCGGTGCAAAAATAAGTGCGATTAAAATGCGTTAATTTTTGTGTAATTAATTAATCTTAATTAACGCGTTAAAGTCCCGGCCCTAATATATATATATATGCATTTATTATTTTCCTGCCCTAACTTTTATTACATTTTTTCTCCTGTTTTCTTTATTTCTTTGTACTCCTTCATTTCTATACGTTTTTGACGCAATAATGCCGCTGTATTAGGATAATGGAGAGAGCTAATTTCCACAAGCCTTCCCGCTTCTACTAATTGTGTTCATCATGTGTGTATGAATTAAACTTTTTTTGTTTTTCGGATGAAGAAAAAAAAATATATATATACTTTCAGCTTGGGGGCCCCCTAGTGGCCGCGGGGGCCCTATGCCCCCGCATAGTCCGCCTCTAGGAAGAAACGGCCCTGGTCATTGGCAGTCACTTCAGACCGACAGGTAGCAGCACCTCCCACCTTAAAGTCCCATGTTATGCCGGCTTTTTTTTGGCTTGTCTGAAGGTGAGTGGAGATGAACAAATGACTAAACTGCCAGTGCCTCGAGTTTACAGCTAATTAGCCAAAAGACAAAAACAAATATAGTTAAAGTAGGGTACAGATAATGGATAAGTTAGCTCAAGGTTTAGCTAAGGCAATTTATAATGGGCATACAGGCTAATGTAGGCCTACTGCACTTAGGGGGAGACACTACAGGTGAATACAGTACAATGTGTATCTAATAACGTAATCACAATCACCACATTGATATGCAAATTAGGCGTTAACTAGGTCTAATTAAAATGCGCAAATTTGCATGCAGTTACCAAGGCATTGCAGGTGAAAAGGATAAAAAACATAACACCTCACGACTTCCCCAGATAGTTACTTACGTCAAGTCAGTATTTTCCCCGGAAATGTTATGTTTAAATGGAGATTAGCTTTAAATCCATAGATAAATTCAAACATAACGATCTTTTTACCTGTAATGTCCTGCCTTAAACAGTAACTTCATCATTTTGATTGTTTGTTGCTCATTTAATAACTATTAATTGTACTAGTTTTTTGTCTGCTCTTGTGCTTATTGAATACTAAAGAAGAACATTGTCTCTGTGTTAGCTGATTATTTTTGTAGAATTCTGTTGAGTATTAAACAATTGCGTGAGTGTGAGGGTATTAAAATAAATTGGTCAGTATGTCAGAGATGTGCAACTATTTTTTACTTTTTGTTTTAAAACATTTTTTTATAAATTATTATGGGAAGTGCCCTTTTTCTCACTTGAGCTCCTGCCCCCCAAAATGTCTGCGCACGTCCCTGGTCTGTGGAGTCTGCTTTGGCCATGTTTAATTCTGCTGATGACTCTATAATATGTGGCATGGTAGTTTCCTACATGTAGTCTATTACCGCCGTGGTGTCCATAGACACCATGCTTTTTGTGTCTTTTCTGGTTAATTCTAGTAACGGTACACAGAGTAAGGAGGCTGTATAATTTATAATCAGTTGCAAGCCTTTATATGAACAGGCTTCCATCTACAGAATAGATGTTCTTGTTTGTTTGGACATCACTTGTTGCTGATGTTGATCATTCATAACACCCTCCTCAACATTAACTCAGAAAAGCTCAATTTTAACTGATCAACCCTTTACTTGTATGCAGGTCCATTTTTACCCTTGTGTTTTGACTTTATTGAGATAAAGCTAGCACCAACATCAACAACAGTTTATGCTGTTTACACGATAAGGCATCAGTATTAAAAATCCTGAACAAAATACTCGAAACATTTGTATTTTTGGCTAAACCTGTCCATTTTGCTTTATTAAACTCACTTACATTGTTATGTCAGCAATTTTATTTTAAGTAAAACATCCTTATATTTCTTCCAGCACTTTCTTTCAGCAACTTGATACATGCAGACTGAAGGGAGATTTAGACCAAAAATACAGCTGCATACTGTACACCTGACCCCGTATGCTGCCAGACAGAGAATCACATGAAAGTACGGAAACACACACGTCAACCCCTCACACACATGCACAGACTCTCTCACACACCAGACACACAGTTCAATTACTTTTGAACTCTATTTAACCTTTGCTTGGAATTTAAGCTCTCAGCAGCTGGCTGGTGGAGAATTGTGAGAACTGAAACTGAAAACTGAACACTAGCGTAATCCTCTGCAAGAGAGAAGGCGGGAATTAAAGAGGAATCATAACAGAGAGACTAATAACGAGGAAGAATGTGAGATAATACATTTCCATTCACACAAAGAGCTTTAAAACAAAGTGTGTGCCTTTGGAGCAGATAGATGGGAAAGCAACAATGAAGAGACAGATTACAGAAGGCATGAGCGATAATGACAACAGTTTAATATATTCAAAAACACCATTGTCACACTTTATTGAAAAAATGCCACCTGCCTTATATACTGGATGCTTTTACTGTATATATACATCAGCCATGATATCATAGAGTTTTCTTTGCTGTGACTGTCAGAACATACATAGTGAAACGCTAATGCACACACAGAATGATGTACAAAGATGAATTAGGACACTGTAAAGGTGTGAACAGGTACAAAAAGACAAGTTCTCCAATTTGCAAGTTCACTTGATGCAATGCATTGTATCAACATAGCTTGGATTGCGGCATGTATACCTTCTCTACTCTCATACACATTGTGCTCCAGCATGACAGCTGTGCCCCTGTGTGTAATAATCCTCAGTAAGCTCCATGGCTCCTGCATTCTCTTTCACTAGATCCCCCGGAGCATCTCTGACCTCACTGTGCAGCCTTAGCTACACCTCTCTGCCCCACAACCTGCTCACACTCTGCTCACGTTGGACCCCATCACATCCTATAACTATCTTTCGCGGCTATAGTTGCACTTCTGAGCTCATTCCCGGCCCTGACCCTTATCTAATTAATGGAATAGTACAGCATTTTTGGGAAAACCCCTTGTACAGCATTTTTGGGAAAACCCCTTTTCACTTTTGGTTGGAAAGTGTCACCTGTGCTAAATGTGAAGCTACTGCAAACGGCAGGTTAGCTTAGGTTAGCATAAAAAAGAGAAATGGGGGGAAACAGCTTGCTTGCCACATCTTAATCAATGTTTTTAATATGTAAAAAAAAATTGTTTAATACGTACGAGTGTAAAAACATCCACTTGCAATTTGTGCCGGGCTGTTCCCTGGCCATGACAACTAGTGGACACCAAAAGACGTTACTCTTCTTAACTAAGTAATAGTTCTCTAGTGTCACAATAAAACCAGCCTGCTTAACCATCTTCTCTGCTTTTATTTTCCGGACCAAACGGGACCTCTTATTTGTGGAGCAAGTTTGCCCCCTGCTGTACACATCGGGCCTCCTCCAATGATAAACTCTATTTGTACTTTTTGCCCAGACAAAACCTTCCTTGCCTACTTTCCAGCTTCCATGGTTAAATGTATCAATACATTTTATGTTAGTGGTGCTTCCCTTTGTTGTGCACCGGAGCATTTTGGAAAAGAGTTTAGTGGTATACATTATTAAAAGTGAGTGCTAAATAACACGGAATAATGTGTTATTTAGGATAATGGATATAATGGATAATGGATTACCTTTTTGAACAAAAGCAGGGCTGATCTGATGACCAGTTAATACACTCTGTAAAAATACATGTAGGAAATGTTGCAACCAGAACACACAGCCATCCTTTTCTTTATGCGTGATAATAAAATAGATCTGCGTGGGCTGAAGGTGGAGGCTCTGAACTCTTTCACAGTGATCTTCTGCCCATCTTGGGCTTCCTCTGACTGATGGGCCAAAACTCCCACAATGTCCACAATCATTGTTGTCACAGTGTCCATAAAGCTCTTTTAAAATGCATGAAGATGGGATAATATTTTCTTTTCATAGTTTGTTTATACTTTTTAAATATAAAAATAACTCTCTCCCTCATTTGTTTGAAACAAGCCTCTAGAAGTGTGGATAAAGGAGGATTAAAGTGATGGGGATGTACATACATTTGTAAAAACTTGACTTTAAAATATGCTTTTCCTTCATAGTTCCGTTAAGTCAGTTAGCACTTCCTTCATGTTGTGCTTTAAAAAGGAGAAAATAAGCTGTTAAAAAGTCTCTGAAGTGGCTTAAAAAGTCAAATCCATAGTACAACTTTTTTCCTTTTGTCTTCTTATATCTTGATATCCTTTGCAGAGCGCTCAAACATCTGTCATTGGAGGGGAAAGTCTCAGAAGTTGCTGAACAGCTCATATTTCTTCATCCAGTCCATTTGTGGAGCCTTTCTCTTTTCTTTGTTATGGACCTTCATCTTTTCCTCTGCTGCCGTAGCGCTCAAACTCAGACCCATCTCAGCGAAAGGGTCCATCAGCTGGCTGCCTTCATCTTCTGCCAACTAAATGGGAGATGGAATTAAAGACGCACAGACAGAGATAAAGGTTGAGGGTACTGACTTCTAAGTAAAAGACCAAACAGAATACTAAACTCCTCACACCCACCTGTGTGCTGTTGCCCTGGCTGCTGACGTCGGAGCGTGTGGACCTGAAGGACTGCGTGGTGGAGCTGCCGTTGATCTGAGGGTTCGGGGAGCCGTTGGATATGGAGGGACCGTCATAGTCTATAGAAAGCAAAATCCCATTGATTTTTGTTGTCTTTATACATATCGATATTCTAAGAAATGGGTTCCCAGTCCAACAATGTTTGTATTAGGGTTCCCTGAGGTCTAATCCAAAAGTATCGCCAACATTTCATAATAAAATATGGTAAAGTAATTACAAAACCGGCTTGTTTCCTTCCACTACGGTTTATTGTGAGGTTTTTAAGGAAGGTTATCATCATCATGTTCATCATGTATGTACTGATGTATAAGCTAAATCTGTTTCCAGTGCACACATCTGCTTACTTTAACTTTTCCACCTCAGCCGAGTATTACAACTTTTTTGCAATATTGAAAGGTTATTTTGCCCGTTGAATGATAATGCAACTAATGTTTTAGTCGAGAACTATACAGTATACAATTCCTAAATGTTCCCAGAAATAACCATGTCATTTCCCACTCATTATAGGACAAATCAGTTGATTTAAATTGAATTACTTCCAATAATGGTTAATCTAACCTCTGATATTTTAGCTGAGCATGCAGGAAATGTAAATGTACACAAAGAAACAAGTAGGTGCTCTTCAAGTACTTTTCAAAAGAAAGTGATTGAACTCTAAAATAGTAACCAGTTTTGTTGACCACCTCAGTCTTTGCAGTGAAATACCTGCTATCACTATCTATTATGAAATGACCATAACATGCATGTTAATGTGGTGTTCTGACTGTTATGTGCATGTTTACCTCTGAGATGGCTGATTGTAGGGATGACCCCACTCCTCTTGAAGTGTTCGTCTGTCTCTTGGTCCACCACCAGCAGCCAGGTCTCATCTCCCCCTTTCTTAACGAAGGCCACCACCTCTGCATGCCGCATGCCTTCGATGTTCACACCATTTACCTGGAAAACGGAGGAAAAAAAGAGAAGGGTTTATTTGGAAGGAAAGAGATTTTTTTTCCTAAGACAAACTTTTCCATGTCCATGAATTACTTAAATGACACTCAACTTAGTTTTGAATGCAACACCTGAGTAAACCATCTTCCACAACTTTCATTTATACCACACTGAGAGCTGTGCTACCTAAATTATCCAGTAGGTGGAGCTGTGGGACAACATACTGATTACACACTTTTTCCACATGACCTCTCTACAAAACGTTACGCAAACTCTTGTTATGAATTATGAATTCTTGAAACAGGGTTTGAGGGAAGCATTAAGGGCAGCTCTACAGGGCAGCTGTTGATTTATGATTTACCACGATTAAAGACTCCTTCAATTCCAAAAGGGGTTACAACAATCGTCCCTCAGAGGGACAAAATGATATGTCTGCACGTGATTGACCATTTATGTCACTATATTGGCATAACAAAACAGAATAGCCTTTCTCTTATCTAGATGCTGTCTACATTTGGAGGCCTGCTTTGTCTAGACCCTGGCTTCTCTGAGGCAGGTAGCTTCGCACCACGCCAAGTTAGTGTTGGTTCACAATCAATTATTGATGGCTCTCCTGGGCTCCGGCTATAGTGCGGGTTTCAGGTGTCCAATTCCTGAGGGGGAATTTGTTTAAAATTCACTGCTTTTGACAAGATGGGACACATTAGTGAAGCAGAGGGAAATAAACCCTTAACAACTGCTTTTGGGCGCCTTGGTGTGTGGAAAGTGGGTTATATAAATATAAAAAATAAGACAAATAGGTTGAATGAGAGAGACTTTATGGGCTTTTCAGGGAAGAAAGGAAACGAGATCAAGAGAGAGTGGAAGGAAGATAAAAAAAAGAGAGGAATCGACAGGTGGAAAATGTGAACTGCTCCTCTCCTCTGTTAAAAAAACGTATCCTTTCTTCCCAGGACTCATGATAGACAAGCAGACGGACATACAAAAAATAGACATCAGTCAGCCAGGGACCCAGACAGACAGTTTGATAGAGAGAACAAGCATCTTTGTATTGGGCCAAACAACAGGTGTTGTGTCATGTTTCACAGCCCTTCATTAGCAGTCCATCCCACACAAGACAATACACTCTGCTCCCTGCACACACTGGGCTAATTAATACGAGCAGCAGGAACAGTACAGAAGCTTATTTCTCATGGGAATATTATATATATTATATATATAAGGGAACCTCTCGATACTTGTCGTGTTTGTCTGTGTGTGTCTGTGTGCACGTGTGTTCAGGTGTATAACTCATGAAAGTAATGTAGAGTCCAGCCACCTGACATATTTTTGATGTCGTTTGGTTGTGTTAGTGCAGCTAGACTAACCTTGGACCAATCAAAACAAACAATTTCCGTTGCGTCTGCACATCTGTGTGCACGTTGCATGTGTGGCAATTAAATCTTCTGTCTCCAGTTTAATTTAGCAAAGAGAGACGCAATCCCATAAGCACCTTTTCACACTGACCATGCAGCAAACAATGAGAGGTGATTAAGATGAAGTCAGCACCCCATTGTTAGAAAAGCTGTTATAGATAATGCATGATTCAGCAACTGCACAGCCTGTTAGATAAATGAGTGGAAAATGTAATGTTCCCACAACAGCTGATGTTTTCTTTTCCAGTGGAAAGAGTACTTATCACTCTGCGTAGAAAGATTTAATGGTAATGTCTCAGCAGTAAGGACACCATTTGTTGTTTAAAACGATGGACAGATAATTTTGTTCTTTGATAATTTTGTTCTATGCTCCTCAAAAAACACCTGCATGACTACAGTTAGAATGAAAATCAATATGCTATAGTGGCTATGAGAACAGTTTTACCATGGTCACCAAATCTGGTCTGTCAGGGATTTTTGTTTGTGTGCAATTCAGTATCTCGCTTGTTTTTTCATTCATTTGTATATGGAACCAAAAGGAACAAGGACAGATTTACTTTTTTCTGTTTAAGTGGTGCACATGATATATCTCTGAATGTATTTATTTGTGTCTGCTAAAAATAACTTTACAAAAGAGACTTCTGCTGTACTTAGGCACAGCGAGGCTAATAACAGAATGTGAATGACACCACAAAGCTAAAAAATGTTGCGCTAAAGATGATGTACTGGAAACTAAAACATTGGACTTGTCCAAAATGTCATGTCAGTCCCTCCAATAGTTTAGTTTATGTCCAACTGGAACAAGGAGGGTTACAGACCGACATTACCACCCATAGAGCCACATTGCTAAAATTGTTAAAGCTAATCTCTGAGGCTTTTTATAGTTGTCTACAGTCTTGTGCATTCAAAATATAAAAGTAAAATGCTTGACAAAAACTAAGGTTGTGATCCAGGTAGCCTATCAGGTGGGCTACCAAGAAGTTAATCTCAAGTGTGAGTATGGTGCACTTTTCTATGTTCTTTAGTGTCACTCTCAAGTTTGTAAAGAGTACGCACTGTTGAGCACAGGCTGAGCAGAAAGCCTGATGAAGCATTCACTGGTGTCACTGCTTCTGCCAAGCATCGACAGCTGGGCTCTCATCATAGCCTTTACAGCGCTAGCTGCTGATCCACCTCCAGCGTAATGGGGCGTGGTGAGAAAGAGACAGAGAGAGAGATCTGTCATGGTTGTTCACCTCTCTAACAGGCTGCTGACAGATAACACAAGCGCTGTCTTGACGCATGGTTAGAGACGGTTGCAATTATCAGCATGTGGACACACACACACACACACACACACACACACACACACACACACACACACACACACACACACACACACACACACACACACACACACACACACACACTACAGCCACCCTACCCGACGGGGACTCAGATTTTTCTCTCAACCAAACTAAAGCCCTGAGTTAGAGTTATTAAGCTAATGTTAAACCACATTTTCTACCAGGACAATCATGAAGTAGACCTTAGCGTCCCACAGGAAATGCAAAATACTTCCAAAACAAAAACAGTGCGAAGTCTTATGCAAACAGAAAGCAAAACGAGGTTCAATGTGTTAAATTCTATTTTTATTACATTCACACAGTCCCAGGCTAGCAGTTTACCATGTTGTCTTTGTGCTAAGCTAAGTTAACCAGCTGCTGGCTCATGTTACATTACACTTGATTCATCATTAGGAAAGGACAATATCTTTTTGTTGTGCAAAGCAACTTTCATATCTCTGCAAGGGGCTTTTAGGATATTAGTCTCTTATCAAATAACACCAGTAGCTGTCTGGGAAATAAGAAATTAACCAAAGATTTGATTGAAAAGTTGTCTTAAAGGGCCCATGTCATGGCCACTTCTACTGATCATAATTCCATTGTTGAGGTATACTAAAATAGATTTATACTGTGCAATTTTCCAAACTCACATTGGTTTCTCATACAGCATCTCTAAAGTATGTGTATTCACCGGTATTCACTCTCTGTCCTAAACGGCTTGTTGGAGCTCCTGCCCCCCCCTCCATGTGAGCCCAGTATTCACACGTTACGCCCAGGAACTAAACAATGGAAAATGAGAAATCTCCAACGAGGCGTTTTGGGGCAGCATAGACTGTGTTAGAGTTTTACTCGTACAGGGTGTACTTTGAGGGTTTTGACTCTGCAGCCGTTTACATCAAAACCTTCATAACACACAAGGGGACGCCCCCCGTCCTGTTTGGCCTCTTCTGCAGCCTGGTCTGCACCCTGATGTTCAGCCAGTGAGGACAAAGGTCATGGGAATAAGGATGAATGTTGTGTGTGTAAACTCAGATGGAAAACTGCTTATAAAATTGTTCTGGCGTTGTGTAAAACACGCATGACCTTGTCACCTATTTGCTCATGTCGAATGAATCGAATATCTTTTCACTTTTATTTGACTGACACATAAATGCATAGATTCAGTTTGGCAGTGCAGTCTGCCCAGTGAATAGCCAGGCTTCAGGTCCTGTTATCTTTAGTAACAGAGGCCTGGCAGAGCAGACACACGTGTGACTCCTGCCTTGTTAATTACAGCTGTGACAGTTTATGTAGATGGGGTCACATCTGTATTTGATCAAGTGTGAAAACGCAAACGTTTCTGTAACTTTAGACAAAGGATATCTCTTTTGCCCTCTCTGTTTTATTTCTCTATTGTTGGATTGAGTTATTCTCGAAGAAATGGACAATGACATCTGTTGACTTTTAGTGACGTTCTGAGTAGCCTGGAGCTACTTTAGCTGAGAAGCACTGGTAGGCAGTGCTGTGTGTTGGTGTGTTGGTGTGTTGGTGTGTTGGTGTGTCATGGATTTAATGCTAAACAGAAGATTTGGAGATAATGGACTGGATGGTTGTGTGGAAATGTGGGCACATGTGCAAAACCAGGAGTGTAGGCACACAGCAGCACACGTATACAGTTCAAACACACCTACAAAGCAACAGAAAAAGTGACACAACGTACAGTAGGGCGAGAACAGGTTTATAGAGGGATTTTCTCACACCCAGTAAATCATATTACTCTCAGACATCTACCAGATTAACCCAGAATAATTCATCAGTAGTCACCTCTTTAGTGTGGGTTCATTCCTCTGCCTGGGTCTGCTGTCAAAGTTCATACATGCATGTAAACACTCACTTAATACTCCTTAATATTCCTTTAAGCTTATCACAACCATGGGAGGTCTCTCGCCATCCCATTAACCTCCGACACAACCTACTGATACACTGGGTAACCTTGTATTTGTTTATGCACATACACATCTGTTTTTGTATCTGTATCTACAGCTGCACTAGTTCGTTTTTTTTGTTTCTACTTATAGCTTCCAACTAAATAATATGTTAACAAATAAAACATCAATACAGAATTGCATTGAGCCATATTGCATGCATTTTAACAAGGATTAATCCCACCCTTTGAAGACTACGTACATCTAATCATACACAACAACAATTATAAAATGCAGTCCAATCACAAAAAGGTAACAGAGCTTCAAATCTGACCATGTTCACAAAAAACGAGACCAGAGGAGGATTTACTGCAGTGTTGTTATATTAGATTGCACTGTGCTGTAATACCCAGACAATACATCCACGCTCCTTTGTCCTACCTCAATCAGCCTGTCCTGGGCCCGGAGCCCGGCGTGGTCTGCAGCTGATCCGGGCGGAGCTCGGCCACCCTGTTCTGATTAGTCAACCACCAGAGAGG